GTATGTTAGTTTAGCTATTACGTCAATAAGATTTTCCCTCTAAGCAAGTTTGAGGTAGTACCACGAGTAAGATGAAGCCACTTGGAAGTTGGAGGAAAACCCTATAGAATCGAGTTTTTGCAAGTTAAGATTAGAATTTTGAGGATGAAATTCTTTTAAGGGGGAGAAAGTGTGAGGCTCCAAAATTTTACTTATCTTTGAAGCTCTTATTTGAACTTATTTGCCTTAAATTCTTGGTTGTTTTAATGGTTGAATCATGATTTTTCTCTTATTGTATTATTTAACTTGGTGCATATTTAATTTGGTGCATGTTAAGTTTCGTAGTGCAAATTGCCATGAATCTAGGGTTGAATATTGAATGGTTAACTTGAAGAATTGGAGGACATATTGCTGGATTTTTCTCCTTATTGGTCAAGTGAGAGATGAGGTGCAAATTTAGGGTCTTTTTGCTTTCCTTGTGCATATGATTTTACTCGAGACACTTGTTACAATCTTATTCTTTACTTGTATATGGATTTTGAGCCAAAGAAAGAGGTTTAAGTGAATGGAAATGAGTTTTTCCTAAACTGTTTTAGAGTTGGAAATTTCCAGCTTTGAACATTACAAGTCTTGACTAGTTTTTCCTCAAAATTCTTGACTATAAGTGACATATTTTTGTCCCATATTATACTTGAATCATTAAGCTACCATACATGTGGTTTTTGCCTTGATTTGTCCTTGATTTGAACAAGAAACCGTGGCACATTTGGAAGCTATATTAGGGTTGAACCTGGAATTACTGTGTTTGTTAAATGAAGCTTTGAAACTCATATTTTTTTCATTTATCTTGACTTTAAGTTGATAGACTCTTGATAGTTTATAAGACCACCGGACTTGAGAGGAGGAACCAGGGTTTGAAGTGGAAAGATTGAGAATCAGGGTGAGTGTTCCAACTGCATGTTCCATATTATTTGATCAAACGTGACTTGTTGTTAGAAATTACTAGGGATTCTAAATTGTTATTTTATAGGCGAGTGTGTACTTTATCGCATTCGACTTAATTTGACTGGACTCCGGCTCTCTTGTTTATAAGTGAACGGATATACATGTACAAGTAACTTGATATACATATGACTTGAGGCTTGACTTGATCTTAACTAGGTGAATATGTACTTATTTGCACTCGACCTTTGTAAAGTTGAATTACATGATCCTGCATGCGGACTTGCATGTACATGTACATGAATGTAGGCCGGTTGTATATCTTCTTGTAGCGGCTAAACTGTGCTCTTCACTGGCACCCTTATTCGAGACATCGGGTAAGCTAGACCGTCTTGAGTTACTCATGTGTATGCATAAATGAAAGCCGGTAACGGTTGAACTGGACCCTTCGTTGGAACTCTTACTTGAAACTAGATTTAGAGCGGTCGGGTAAGCTGTATAGCCTTAGGTAAAGGAAGAATTTTCTAACCTATTTACTCATGACTTGAACTTGTGACATACTTGAATACTGGAGCATTAAGTGGCAGCTAACGTCTCTAATCATTACATGTGTGAGCGTTGGGTGACAACCAATGACTCCACTTGTAAATATTTGAATATTTGGGGCTCTAATCCTAGATTATGAATACTTGAATACTTAGGGCTCTAGACCCAGATCATGACTATTTGAACACTTGGGGCTCTAAACCCAACCCCATGGCTAGTTGGTTGAATCGAGCAGGCAAAAGACTTGGTCTAGGAGATTGACGAACCGTGGGTACTTGTTTGAATTTAGGGTCTGTATGGGGATGATCGGTGGATGGAGATTGGCGATTAAATGGTGATCTATGGACATTATAATTCCATAGTTAACGGAGTGTGAATGGACCCTGACATGCTGCTGTGGAACCTGCTCCTGAAAACTGACTATATCATACCTGCTAGGTTCCTTGCATGTTTTCTTTGAACCTCACTGGGCGAAAACTCATTCCTTTAGTTTGTTTTCCTTACAGAGGGCGAGAACATGAGAGTGGGAGTTGAAGAAGGCAAGGCCTTTGTCTAAGTTTTGTTAATTGCTCGTGTTGGTACTTCTTAACTCTATATCGGTCCTGTTTGATTTTATTTTGTAAACTTGAATCCCTGGCCATATTTAAGAAATTGTTTGGACAGTTGATGTCCCTGATCATATACATCTAAGGTGGGCATTGCTATTGCTCTTACTGTTGAGGTTATTGTTTTGTAGATTTTGTGGTGCAGAGTGAGTTCTACCGAGAGTTGGACAGACGATCCGCCAAACCCTTGGGTACGCCCTAAGCAGAGGTGGGGTCGTCACATTGATAAACACTCGCATCAGTGTTTAGTTTTACGTAGGGATATGGCGGGCGCTTCCATGATATAGCCATACTCCTCTTCACCCTCACCAGTCGGATAGCAAACCATGCTCATGGATCCTCAAGATCACCCCTAAAATGACTCACCGCGAGCCTTTTTGCCTGCCCCAACTGTTCCACAAATCCATCAACGAGAGAAATAATCCCCTGGACCTCATACCCCTCCCCATAAAAGTGTGCCCTATTCCTAGTCTTCCATGGACACCACAACACTGACAGAGGTATAACAATCCTTATATGCTCCCGCGTTACTAAGGAGGTCGAACAGAACCAAGATAACAACATCGCCGAGACCAAAGAGGTGTGGTATCTAGTATCCCAAATCTTCTTCTGAAATATAGCCAAATCTCCGTAGCTATTGGCCCTGTGACAAACAAATGCATTATAGACTCTTCCTGCGAAGAACAACAAGAGCATCTAGACGCCATTGGAATCCCATGATTCTTCAAATTTGCATCGAGCGGAACCAAGTTTCGCACTACTCTCCATGCAAAAAATGACATCTTTGACGGCATTATGTTATTCCAAAGAAACTTATCCACCAAAGAATAACTCTGTCTTTGACAGACAACCTCCCAAGCGGACTTGATCAAGAATTCGCCAGAGGGTGAACTTATCCAAACCATACAATCATCTTGTTTCGGGAATAAATGAATATTCTTTATATGCCGAACCAGCTGGGACGGCAAGCAAACCGTTAATTTCTCAACATTCCAACCCGTGGCACCATAGAACTCTGCCAACAGCATATGGGATGGGTCTTGAATGGAGATCAAATCCACCAGGGGTAAATCAACAAGCCAACGGTCGTACCAAAAATCCACAAAGCCTTTACCCATGCACAATCTAATGTTGCTTTCTGCAGTAGTTCGAATATTCTCCAACCATCTCCAAGATAAAAGGGGTTTTTCTACTCTGACCTGTAGAGGATGACATCCTTTAATGTGTTTGACATGCATAAAGTCTGCCCAAATCCAGTCCTTTTTCCTCAAACACCACCAAAGCTTACAAGCGAAAGCTAAGCTCATGTCAGCAAAATGTCGAAAACCCAACCCACCCTATTCCACAGGATTGCAAAGGCACTCCCAAGATGTCCAGTGGATAGCCTTCGACCCCCCAGCCTTGTCCCACAAGAAGGCATTGCATATTCTCCCCAACTTGACTAGTACTGCCTTAAGTGGTTCCAGCACTGTGGCAAGAACATGACGTATCAGCACCAATTTACACCCAGCTGATAACATTTGTGAGCTCCAATGGCATAATTGTTCTCTCATCTTAGCTACTAGAGGAACAAATAAGGCCCATGTGACTCTTCCCCTACATATTGGTGCCTCCAAATATGTAAAAGAAAGAAGTTGTTGCCGAAATTGCAGCCTTGAAACCACCATTGGGTGATGCTCATCAGAAGCTCGAGTAGATAGCACATACATACTTTTACTTGTATTAATTTTCTGACCAGAGTAAGACTGATAAGCAATGAGAAATGACTGCAACTCCGCCGAAACAAACAACCTACTTTCATCCTACCAAAACAATTTATTCAAACCTCACCCTAAAAACTCAGCCACTAGCAAAAATAGAGTCGGGGAAAAAGGATCCCCTTGCCTAACTCCCCTTGTTGCTTTAAAGAAACCCGCTGGCAACCCGTTGATCAGTACCAAAAACCAATTATTCGACAAAATTCAGAAAATTAGATCTACCACCTAGTCATGGTAGCCAAATTATCGAAGCATAAATATCAGGAAACTCCATTCCATCCTGTCATATGCCTTTTCCATGTCTAGTTTCAACATTAAATTTGGGCAACACAATCGACAATCTAAATCTAGTGCCAACTCCTGTGCAAGTAAAATATTATCAGTTATGCTCCTGCTAGGCACAAATCCTAATTGCCAAGGCAGAACCAACTTCGAGAGCAACAAATTAAGTCGATTCACCAAAATTTTTGAGATAATCTTGGAGCTAAGATTGCACAAGCTAATAGGCATGAATTCTCGCCATTTCGTTGCCCCTAGAACCTTTGGAATTAAGACTATCAGAGCACTAGAAAAACCCCAAGGAAGTTGAGCGCCCTCAAAAAACTTCTGAACCGCTTCTAATAAATCCTTTTGTATGATTACCCAGCATTTTTGGTAAAAATCTGCCCCAAAACCATCTGGGCCTGGGGCACTATCTTGCAACATCAAGAAAACCGCTTCTTTCAATTCCTCCATAGTTGGTAGTTTTTTTAACAGTTCATTATCCTCATGGCTCAGTGATGGAAGTGTAAAATTCAGGGTCGGATTAACATGGCCTTCCATTCCGATGTGAACAATGACGAAAAAAATTCAGCTGAAGTTTTAATCTCCTCCTCATTTTCAATCCATTGGCCCGTATCACTCTGGATTCTCGCTATAAAATTAAACTTTCGCCGCTGCTTAACAACCGAGTGGAAGAACTTGGTATTGGCATCCCCCTATTGGATCCATTTAATTGCTCACTTTTGTTTCTAGTACTCACACTCCGTAGCTAGTGCACGAGCATATTTTTTCCGCGCTTCCCCCAGCTTCGACTTGGAAACCTCGTCACGAACCAAATCAAACTCCAACTGACAAAACTACAAATTAACTTCCGTGTCTCTCATCGCTCAACATATATATCCCAAAAAAACTATTTGTTCCAAAGTCGAAGTTTGGCTTTAACATGTAACAATTTCCTAAAAAATGCAGTCGTACCAACCCTATGAACAGGCATAGACCAAGCTTCCCGAATCACCTCCATGAAGCTCGAATGTTTAGCCCAAGCATTGATGAACCGAAAAGAAGACCTGTGTTGCCTATGCGAACCACACTTGATTAACAGTGGGGCATGGTCAGATCTGCCACGCAACATATGAGACACCTTTGCCACCTCAAAAAGATTTGTCCAAGCTTCATTTACTAGTGCTCTATCCAGCCGTTGCCACAGACTGCCATTAGTCCAAGTAAATAGCAGACCATCAAAACCAATATCCGGTAGATTACATTTGAAAACAGCCTCATTAAATTCGTCCATATTACGGTTATTGGGGGTAGCACCCCCAGAGTGCTCAACTACAGTAGAGATCACATTGAAATCTCCCGCCACCAACCATGGCCTTGGGAACCATTCATGAATGTCCTCCATTGCCTTCCAAAGGTCCCATCTTCCCACTCTTGTACATCTGGCATAGACGGCCGAAAAATTGAAAAAAACCCCACCCATGAAACCACCATGTGCACCAATTGAGTACCAACTTCATGAAACTGCAAAGACAATTCGTCCTTCCAAAGAACCCAAACTTTATGGCCTAGAAAAGATTGACCTTTAGAAAATTGTAACCAGCGACAAATTAAAGGTAAGGAGTCTACAGTCGTCATGGGTTCCAACAACACCAGTAGACGAATGCGATTTGAAGAACATAATTTATGAAGATATCTTTGCGAATCAGCCCGGAAAACGCCCCGAATATTTCATACCATAAATTTTATTGGACTAATCATGAGAAACGATAGACGCTTTAATTTGAGAAAGAAACTGCTTTAGCTTCTTATTATAATTGATTGGTCAACCTGATTTCTTGGACAGACTGTTGAGTAGCTCCACATCTTTCGAGTCAATCACTACACCACGCTGTAGCTCTAAATCGCACCATGTCATATCACGTTGCTCAGCTGACAAACACAAAGATGCTGGAGTTGCCTCGGCTCCTTGCACCAATCCCCCTCTACCTGCACCTAGTCCAACGATTTGCTTCTGTGTACAGGCTTAGCTCGTCTAGGAGAAGAAGTGAGTGAACTACCAGCGGAGCGCACACCCTCAATTGCTTTAGTAGCCTCGCTCTCCAATCTATCATTTAACTCTCCCAAGACTGTGAAAAAGTTGGAAACCCAATCTGGTTCAAGGACCAATTCAGATGCAAGTTTCTTGCTAGCTGGTGATACCGAATGTTGTTTGAGTGAATGCTGAACTATCATGAAGTCCTTTCCAACAGACCCAACCACCGTAGGTACTTCCTGATGGAAAACACTTGGAATTTTGTCCACCTGCCCTGAGCTCACCTAAGCATGGCTTGGTCCTGCCCCCAACTCCTTCAAGTTATTTTGCCCCAACGATGCATCACTCTTCAAACATTTTGCTTGCAAATTATCCTTCTCAGAATCCATGATATCCTTCCCTTTATCAACCCTTGACTTCAGCACATAAACCTGAGCGTTCTTTTCCCTTTTCCCATGCTGCCGACTCTGCTGAAGTGAAGGATTTTTCTTAAAACAATGTTCCTCAAGATGACGTATTCGTTCACAGAATCCATAGAAATTTGGCCAATCCTCATACTCGACCCTCTGCCACTGCCCAAACTCATCATCCCCAAGCCATAGTCTCTTAACTGGTACCTTGGCCACGTCTATTTCAATCAAAAGGCGTGTTACCTAAGGTCGTTTGAGTGATATGGTCGTAGAATCCATCCGTAAAGGCCTACCAATCAAGGAGCCTATCTTGAATAACAATTTCTTCTCGAAGAAAGGCAATGGAAATCCCAGTAAAGACACCCATACTGGTGCAATCAAAGACTCCTGGTTCACCCTAAATCCATCGTCCACTTTGTGATTGTCATAGGTAAGTTCTGCACAAATCATGTGCGCCTAACAAAAATTCTGTGTAGTCCTCCTCTAACGTTGGACGAATGAGCACATGTTTGAGATCAATCAAACCCACAGTATACGCACCCTTTAGACCCAATGAAATAAAAAAACTTTCGAATAATCTCCATAGAGGGTCTCCCAAAGGCGAATCTCCCTATCATCACGTTCTTATAAGGTTCGGCTATCATAGCCATGTCCTGCTTAGATAAGACCAGGGCTGGTTCCCTTCTATGCTTTCCTAACAAGCCAAGGTCTGAGGAAGCGGTTGTAGTTCTACCATTCACCACATCTGCGAAGGTTTTCCCTGGAGGACGAGTGAGACTGCCTGAGAATGACTCTGACGGCATCGAAGCAGCCATGTCCTTAACCCCAGTCAGAACCCTAGACGGCAGCTATTTTTTCCCTAGCTATCTTGTGAACTTGTTAATACATGTATTTGCATATCATAATTGTAGTTGCTTGGTCACCAGCTATAAATCATCCAATCATTTGTTATGCATTAAATGTTGCCATGCAAGTGTAGACCAAGATTCATGAACCATAAACATCATGTTCATGAAAGTAAAAGATGAATGTAGGTAGATTTCTATTAGATAGATCATCTATCATAAGATCTATCTATTACAACTCATGAAAGTAAAAGATGAATGTAGGTAGATTTCTATTAGATAGATCATCTATCATAAGATCTATCTATTACAACTATTGTGTTGCGCTTTCATTTCTTATTTTGATAGTAGTATACTTTACTATGGCGATTTGTTATTTATGGCATCCAGCGCAGCGGACGTTCCAAGAAGGAAAGTTTTCCTTTCTTTTTTAATTATTATTATTTTTTAAATAGAGCACTTCAACCTGATAACAAATCATGTTATTCTAGCTAGTTCAAATATATATAACGGGAAGTCAAGTGTCCTAAGCGTTCAAATATCAAAGTTTCAACTAATAATATGAATAGTTTTGTATGGAAATGAGGCCTTACAAATTGAGTTCTATCCGGTTCAAATTAGTGCATGTAATTCTTACAACTTTTAATGTAAATTCATGGAATTGAAGTAACAATTAATTATTAATTTAGTTATATGAACTAAGTTTATGTGCAAGTTGGTATGAGTTTATACTGAAAAATGTAAGAATTAAATCAATTAGTTCGAAATGGACAGAATTCAACTTGTAACACCTCAGATAATATTTTATGATGCTAGTGGATAGGCAATTTTAGGATTGAGCAAGTGCGCTAGTGCAATACTAATTGAAATCAAATTTGGTAATTTGGTTATCAGTTGAGGAATGGATTTTTCATTTTGGTGTGTACTAGTTTAGAATTTAAATGCAATAACATGAAATCGAAATCCTTTCCATGGATTTAGTTACCTAATTTTATTTCAGTACTTCTTTTATGTGCCTTAATAGAGACTCTACATTTTATGCATTTAATTCAGGTCACCTAGGTTGCCATCATCCATGATCAATTACCAACTTCCGAGCAAATTATGTCTAATACTTTTTTTTTTTGGCCGCAGGGCGATTAGTCAGGCCGACCCTCTCGGACACGGTAGCCCCAGGCAAGACTCGAAACCTGGTAACCTGGTAAGCAAATTATGTCTAATACTTGAGCTAGCTAAATTTTGCATGAATCTTTTCCATGGTGCCAAAGAAGAAAAGGTTTAAATGGTATATTGAAAAGATGTGCTAAAATGTGCAATATTTACAATCTCTCCAATCAAGGTTAGTATACTTCTCAAGACCATTGTTTCCTCGCATTTTCTACAAACATGAGCGCCACATAAATGACTTGATTATTGCATGAAACAGGTATTTACTGAATAGCTTAAATCTTCACCACTTAGCTTAGTTGACATGTGTAATTCTAGTGGAGCCGTTGAAGACATAATTTGGATCTCCAAAGATCTTTCAGGCATATTGAAGATCAGGGTTCAAGGCTGTAGAAGATTTGGACCTTACTCAAGAATGAAACCAAGTTGTTGCAAGATGAACATGAAAGAGGAGAAATTCACCTACAATCATGAGAATGGATTTTTTACTATACATCTTGAAGGTGGCTGCAATTTTAGGGACCTTGAAGTTGAGTATTAGTGTATTCTTATCTGTGTGTCATCTGCAATTGTTGATACATTAGTTTTGTACAAATCATAGAGGACCAAATTGGTTCATTTCCAAATGTAGGAGGCTTAATAACACAACCATATCAGTCCCATTTTAGCCTATACCTGATTTAGGGACTAAAGTTGCAATTTTGTAATTATTATAGAACTGTTCTACTATTTTATAAAAATAAAAAAGGAATTAATATTATATCAAATAGGCAAATATCGTACGAATATATTTCAATGGTTATATTAATTCAAAAAGCCTACAGAATGCTCCGTACAAACTTATAGTAGTACCAAATACAAATCAAGGGCTACAAGACTTCCACTAATTGGTTCATTTCCAAATATAGAGGCTTAATAACTTAACCATATCAGTCCCATTTTAGCCTGTATCTGATTTAGGGACTAAAGTTGCAATTTTGTAATTATTATAGAACTATTCCACTATTTTATAAAAATAAAAAATGAATTAATATTATATCAAATAATTGTCTTAGGCAAATATCGTACCAATATATTTCACTGGTTATATTAATTCACTGGTTACCAATATATTTCACTGGTTATATTAATTCAAAAAGCCTACAGAATGCTCCATACAAACTTATAGTAGTACCAAATACAAATCAAGGGCTGGAAGACTTCCACTAATTTAATTTAACTCGCATGCACATTGATAAGTGGCAAATGCTGCAAGATTGGATCACTATAATGAAACTTTTGCCACCTTACTGAGAACAGTAGCTTATACTGAACATTTTGTTTATTTGGCTTTTGTGCTTTTTATCAAAAAAAAAAAAGATTATTGTGCTTAAAATAATGCGGAAGTTGCTAATATATTCTTCCCAAGTAGATTTCTTAAATTCCCTTTTCAAACCAATATACATAGTTATTATAGACATTCTTGAGATGAAAAAGGCACAAATAGTTGTAGTCCTTGAGAGAATATTGACATGTCATATGTGCTTCCTTTTATCTCCTTTGTGATATTTTACAATGTATAAAACAAATTTCTTGAAAGGAAAGTCAAATCTTTTCAGATCTAAAGATTTTCCAATATGTTCTCTAGTTTTATTTAAGATACTATTTTTTTGGTAAGCTTATTTGATATAATATATATTTCTCCACAATTACTTGTAATGCTTAAAAACTTGAAGAAATTATAAAAACAATAGACCTCCAAAAGATAATTTGCAATATGTGTAACTTCACTTGGTTTTTCTAAACCCCTTTAATGAAACTAAAGTTAGAAGTTGTCACAGTACCCAAAGAAAAAAATCACATGGCAAATTGAATTGAAAAAAATGTTTGGGGGGACTACTAAAATTCTAAAAAGAAAAAACTTAGTCATAGACCACTGTTGACCCTAAAATTTTCTGGCAGATAGTTATTCCTAGAAACAAAGGAAAAGCCAACTAAAGTTCTCTATTTTCTTTAAGGCTTAGGCAGGAAGACAATCAAATGCCCATGAAATTCATTTAATGTAGTATTAGTACACTATTACATCTGCCATGGATCAAGTGCCAAAACAAAATAACGTTATTGTTGAGGTTATACTTGCAATTGGTTTTTACAAGTACAATTTTTTTTTTCATAAAAGTAAATCTACAATTTGTTCACAATGTTGGAATTAGTATATACTCATCAAGAATATAGATTTTCAGTAGAATCACATTTAGTAAGGTTTGAAAAAAAAATCTCTAATTCTTAGGCCTAATAAGATATATAATGTAGAAAAGGAAAACAACAATAGTTTTTTCAATTACGGTGGTTGCTTAAACTAGATTTGCTACATTATTATTAAAATTGATACGGCAGCATGAGGTCAAATTTGATGACTTTGTTTTTGACAAACCCCGTATGTGAGGGAGGGATGCCACCCCTACCTTTTATTAATAACCATTAAAAGAAAAGCGTCTGATACTTACGAAAAACTTAAAACAAGGAATACTACTCCCTTACATGGAGGTGTCTAATTTAAAACAAGGAGTACTACTTACTTACATTTTTTTTTTTCGAAACGTTAGTTTACTTGCATTGATCTTTGAAAGAGAGAATTTACAATTCGAGCAAAGGCCCGATCATACGTACAACACGTGTTCAATGACACGGAGGAACAAAGAGTTCCTCATCCAACAAAATGCCTAAAGCATATGAGCTAACATTAGCACAAATATCCTTATCATCATAACTAACTAAGCAAAAAGAACACATTCGAAACAAAGACTTTAGACATAATATATCTTCAAGGACTGTTGACAATATGCAATCTGAGGATTTACCAAACTTAAGATGCTTCAGAAGGTCTTTGTTGTGAATTTGTATACTGATGTTGCTCCATTGTCTTTCCAATGCTTTGCAAAGGATCAGTAAAACAGCTGTGGCATCATCAATATTTTTGTCTCCCGAACTTCTGTCTTTTAAGGCCCACAACTCCTTTGCCTCATTTGGCATCCTAATAATATTAACTCCAATTCCCAGCACTGCAGATATTTGTAAGCTTCTGGTTGCCATCTTCAGAACTATGAGATCATGGCTTTCTTGTGCATGACAGTCCTCTTCCAGGGGTGTCACTGTTTCTGTAGTACTCCTAGAGTTCTTCGTAGACTCCAAATCCTCTAGTTCCAACCACTCCTTGTGTGCTTTTTGTATAACACCACACGGTTGGCTGCAGGTTTGTTGCTCAAACTCCCTCTTATTTCTGTCCTTCCAAATCTACCACAGTATATTAGCCGTAAGTCCCATGTGGCTTCTTCCTTCTTGCCTTTTCCTAGCCTCTGTAATTGTACTCCACCATCTTTGAAAGTTCCCTGTCTGGTCTTTAGCTCCATCCCATGTTAATGGAGCTACTTTCCAAATCTTCTGTGCTAGAGGACAGTGCAGTAAGGTGTGCTCTATTGTCTCAGGCTCTTCTCCACAACCTTTACACACTGGATCCCCTAAAGCGGCTCTCTTGTGTATAGCTTCTCTGACTGGTAGAGCACCATTGATACACTTCCAGATAAAGATTTTAACTTTATGCTTGATGTTGAGCCTCCACAAAGTGTTCCAAAGATGTTTGCTTTGCTCACTACCAGCCTCAAGGCTTGTTCCAGCATCCTCCATTCTTGTTTTCGTGCCTGAGCTATCTTCTATTAGTCTCTTGTAGCCTGATCTTACTGTGTACACACCCCCTTCACTGTATTTCCAATAATTAGAATCTGCTCTACCTGCTAGACTTATTGGAATACTGAGTATCCTTTCTGCATCAGATTTGTTGAAAAGTCTAAAGATTATATTTGTGTTCCATCTTCTATTATTGATTAGTTGTTGGACTATTTCATACTCACAGTTTTGGGGTCTTGGAGTAGAAGGCCTGCCATTCGGAGCTTTTGGTATCCACTTATGTTCCCATATTTTAGTGCTGCTCCCATTACCAATTCTCCTCAGTACCCCTTCTTCCACCATTTCCCTTACACTCATCAGACCTTTCCAGAACCAAGATGCACAGCCTTGCACTTTGCAATTAAAGATTGAGCCCTTAGGAAAATACTTGGCCTTCAACACCTTGCTTATTAGGAGATTAGGCTTGGTGATAACCCTCCAGATCTGTTTTCCTAATAGAGCTTTATTGAAGGCTTCCAAATCCTTAAACCCCAGTCCTCCTTCCTTTTTGTCCCTAGCCATCTTTCTCCAAGAAATCCAGTGCATTTTGTTTTTCCCACTAGCTTCCCCCCACCAGTAGTTTGCCATAGCTGAACTGAAATCCTTGCAAAGTTTCCTTGGCAGTTTGAAACACGACATGGCATAAGTGGGCATGGCCATGGTGACAGCTTTAAGCATAACTTCCTTCCCTGCATGGCTTAACAGCTTATTCTTCCAGCTTTCCAGTCTTCTGTTGATGTTTTCTCTTATGTAACCAAAAATTTGGTCTTTCGTCCTTGAAATCACCATGGGTAGACCAAGATACTTCCCTTGTTTCACTTCTTCCATACCCCCTAGGATGCTGCATATCTCACTTTTCTGCCTGCTATCTACATTCTTACTAAAAATCACTGATGACTTGTCTAAGTTGATCAGTTGTCTAGACGCTTGCTCGTACACCTTTAAAATTCTCATGAGTTCCCCAGCTTACTGTTTATCAGCTCCACAAAAAATGAGTGAGTCATCAGCAAAGAAAAGATGAGTGATACTTGGTCCCTGCCTACTAATTTTCACACCTTTTAAACTCCTATCCTCAGTTGATCTTTGGAGTAAGTTTGAGAAACCTTCAGAACATATCAAAAAGAGATAAGGTGACAGTGGATCACCTTGTCTTATCCCTCTACCTGGCTTCACAAATCCTTTTACCTCCCCATTGCAGTTGAAAGAATATGAAACAGTCTCCATACATCTTGATATCCAGTGTACCCATTTTGCACAAAAACCCATTTTGAGCATCATGGCTTTCAGGAAGTGCCATTCCACCCTATCGTAAGCTTTAGCCATGTCTAACTTGATAGCCATATACCCTTCTTCCCCAAGCCTTTTATTTTTCAGATATTGCATGTATTCCTGAGCTATAATCACATTATCAAGTATTTGCCTATCAGGGATGAAAGCCGACTGATTTTTACTGATACATTTATCAAGAACTGGTTTCAATCTGTTAGCCAAGATTTTTGAAATGATCTTGTACAGCATACTACACAGGCTTATAGGCCTATAGTTTTTCATACATGTAGGATTCAGGACCTTGGGTATCAGAGAGATAACAGTATGATTAATGGACTTTAGCATGCAACCAGACACAAAGAAATCTTAAACTGCCTGGATTGCATCCTTTTGGATCACATTCCAGAATCTTTGAAAGAACAGGGGGGGTCATTCCATCTACTCCTGGAGCTTTATCCGGGTTCATTGAAAAAATGGCTGATCTTATCTCCTCCTCATGAACTGGTTTGGTTAGATTGAAATTCATCTCCTCAGTAATAGTATGAGCAATGCCCCTTAATACCTCAGAACTGTCTCCTACATTACCCCTGGCAAACAGATTTTTATAGAACATGGTCATTTCATTCACAAGATCCTCCTCATTCTTTGTCCAAGAACCATCATCTCTTTGGATACTAGAGATTCTATTCCTGTTCCTCCTACCTCTCACAGAAGCGTGGAAGAATCTAGAGTTCTTAGCACCCTCTCTTAACCATTGCACTCTAGCTTTTTGGCTCCAAAAAGATTCCTCCTCCCTAAAAGCCTTCTTCAGTTGTTCCTTAAGATCAGTCCTTATCACCCCTTTGTTCTCCAAGTTGGATCTCTCATTGCTTTCTAGTTTGCTCTTAATGTCCTTAATGCTAACCTTGGAGTTTGCTTGGAAGGTGTTTTTCCACTTTAAGATTTCCACTCTACAGTTTCTCACTTTCCTAGTCACTCTAAACATTTTAGTACCTTGTTCCTCCTTACTCCAGGCCTTCTCAATAACTTGTTGAATACCATCCTTTTGAAACCATCTCTTGTCAAAGTAAAATCTTTTTTTCTTTCTCTTATTATCAGGCTCAGAGTCCAATAGAAGCAAACTATGATCAGAAGCATAAGACTCTATGTGCTTACAACCCGTCCCCTCAAACTTCTGGCTCCACTCACAGCTACTAAGACATCTATCTAATCTTTGCCTGACTTCCCCTGTATTATCCCAATGATTGCTCCAAGTCCAGGGGTGACCCTCATAGCCTAAGTCCACTAAGCCATTTTCTGCAATAAAGTCCTTAAAAGTCATGAAACTCTTCTCCTCCCTCTGAATACCCCCCCATTTCTCTTCATTAGAAATAATATCATTAAAATCTCCAGCAATCACAAATTTCTCCCCCCACAATCTTTTCCTTTCCTTCAAGACTTTCCACTGTTGTTTTCTAATATGATCATCACAACTAGCATACACTCCTATGAACCACCACTCATCCTGCAGTTCTCTACCTCCTATCTTAGCTTCAATGGTAAAAGCTGTTTGGAGGGTGGTTAAGATTCTAACACTCTCATTCCAAAAGAGGCACTTACCACCAGATCTATGCATAGCTTCTGTAACCACACAATTGTCAAACCTTAACCAGCTTTTAACTTTGGTCATATACTGCTCCCTATTCTTAGTCTCACTCAGGAAAATAATATCTGGTGAGAAGAGGTTGAGTACTACTTACTTACATGAACGTGTCTAACTCCTGCGTAAATGGAATTATCTAGTGATACCGGAGACTGAATATGTTTTGGCAACTGAGACAAGGAGTCGAAAAGACATTGGCCCATACTCAGAAAACCTGCCAAAGCATTTGCAACCGCATTTGCTTCCCTATAAATGTGATGCAAACTCCCACTTAGTAGCTCCAAAAATGACTTCATTTTCCAAATGACATTGCAAAGCTGCCCAGTAGACGACCAATTTGATATCACCAAAAGATATAAGTGCCTTTAAATCCACTTCCGCCTCAAGGCCCTCAACCTAAGACATTCCTTTATGCCAACATATCTCTAAACCATGGAGTAAAGCCCGGGACTTAGCCTCCAGCACTTGTATATCTCCAAATTCTTTATAGAAAGCCAAGATAACTTTACCTTGATGATCTCGAAGAACTCCTCCACCTGTGGCCTTCCCATTACTAACACTGGCATCGGTGTTAAGTTCTAAAGAACCCAACTTTGGCACCTACCATTTCACTACGATGCACAATTTCCTTTTCGGCTGCTTAAATTTGAAAAAAGGCGCTATAACTGAATCTAAATCACCCATCAATTCCATCTTTTTAATCCTAGTCGTAGCCTCCAAATGCTAACCTCCCTAATGATCCACCGGATTCCATCTCAAGTCCTTCCATCTTACTGAACATGAAATTAAGAACCAAAAACGCGAACTATATCTTCATTTTCTTCTTCCTTTTCACATACCATCATGCACAAGCAGACACTCAACACCCACTTAACAAATCACCATTTTCATCCATTTTTCTTGTAAATTTCACCTTGAAACATCTTAAACTTTATTTAGACTCATTCTCATGGATTAAAAACAACCAAAAATTCATTTTAAGCTCTTTGAAGCTTGTGTTTCATAAGCCAAAAATTGCTCAGTTGGGAGCCGTTTTAGGCTAATTTTATGGGGCTTTTAATATTATTTGCAGTGCCAAACATTACTCTATGCATTGGAGGTAAGTTTCTTCATCAATTTTTAGTAGATTAAAAGTTGCCATTTAAGTATTTCTTGAAGTTTCTGACATAATTTGAATGGTAAACTTTTAATGATGTTTGTTGTTGCTTATGATTTTCATAATGCTTATTTAGCATATCTAAGCATGTTTTAACAATCAAATGAGGGAATGTGATGGTTGGTATGCTAGTTTCAATATTGAGCATATTCCTATCTTTTGATATTTTCAGAAAATGAGTTTGGATTATTGATAGGCCTTATTGGATGTGTCAATTAGCCACAATATAACTTGTTAATAATGGGTAATTGATTACATTTATTATAAGTTGGCATTTGTGGAAAATTTTGGTTTGTTGAAGAAGAAAACGGAAAATTTTGTTTAAATTGGATGAAATGGAAATTGAGTAGTTTTAGGGAAATTAGTGAGCTTAATGATGTTAAATTTGCTAATGAAGATGAATTTAGTGAGTTAAATTGTTTATGTTTTAGAAGAGTATTTGTTGGTACAATATTGCTCATTTCATGGTTAATTGTTGTTTTGGTAATTTGTTAAAATGGGTCAAGTCATGCTCTAATGCTTTATCTAATCTTATGAAGATTCGATGATTGCCTAGAGGAGTTTATTTTGCTTAATTATGCATATGTTAGATATTCATTAAAGTGAGTTATTATTCAAGTGAGAAGCAATGTCTACTTGTACCTCATGTGCTTTCTTATTAACATATTACAGGTAGCATGGTTAGACAATAGCATGCCATTATTCGTGACTTGTCTTCTATTGATGAAGGTGAAGGCAGTGATGAATATCTTCCACCTTTTTCTCCACCACCTAGAAATTGAGGAAGGGGAGGTTCAACTAGTTGGCAAGCTCCTCTCGACTATGATGTGGACCATTTCACATCATAGGAAAACCAAGAATGGTTTGAAGCACATGAGCATAGATATTTTATTAGTGTGATGTATATAGCTCCAGAAATAGATGCAAAATTTCAAATCACGAATGAATTTAATATTCTTGGATGGGTACCAATTTTATCTCTTCCAGATCATGTTTTTTGGCCTTTGGTAAAGGAGTTTTATACCAATATGGTGAACAATGATGGGCATAGTGGAGAAGTGATTTAGTACTTTGTTCGTGACAAGTGATTGACCATCACTCGTGATACTTTGGTGACCCATTGGATGTAGTGATGAAGGTTTGAGTATAGATTTGAAAAAGGAGTTTTTCTCACTTGACAAAGATTGGGATCTTGCTCTTACTATCGCATGATTTGGTCGGACCCTGGATTACACTAGAGCTTCTCAGAAGTCAACACTCAAAGCAAGTATATTGAATTACATCACCGTCTTATCCTCTTCAAGGAATGTGATCTCGAAGAAAAGTAGTTTGAATAAATTCTAGAATAGTGTGGCTTGTACTTCTTGGACTGGATGTTCCACAGTAGCAATTCTCCCTTTGTGCAAATTTCACTCCCAAATATCATTATTAGCTCTATGAGAATGGCTGTGAAACATCATACTACAAAGTATCGATTTAGGTTCCCGCACCTCTTATCATTTCTTTTTGAGCAAGAGGGAGGTGATTTGGAAGGAATAGAGAAGGTGCTAGTGAAGTCACTATATGAGATGAATGCTTATACTCTTCAAAAATTGAGTATAAGAACTGATAACATTCCTTGGCCACGGAGTTTTCGAGTTAGAAGTGCAACCCAAGCCGAGCATAGAGAGCCTTCTTGTTCGCACGTAGATATGAGGGTGAGGCTGGTCCTTCAACTTCTGCACCTCCACCTTCCCGATCCAATTGGCAGAGATTCTTTGAAGTTATTAGCTGTTTTTAGACCCAGGTGGAGGAGAGATTTGACCAATTTGATGCTCGCTTGGATAGATATGACATTCAAATGCGTCGCATAGAGAATCACTTGGGAATATCATAGCAGCAGCCATCTACTGGTGAGTATTGTCAAGATGGTAGGGGACTCGAGGGAGTGAGTGGAGGAGAGGAACGGGCAACATGACTTAAATTGTCTCACTATGACCTTCTACTCTTTATTTGTGCTTCTATGACTATTAGTAGTGTTACTTTTTATTTAGTACTAATGGTGGATTTGAACTTATGAATTACTACTTATGCATTATCTACGGTAGTAACTTAAGTAGATTGGATGTTCGTGATTCATAGTTGCTTCTATGACTATTAGTAGTGTTACTTTTTATTTAGTACTAATGGTGGATTTGAACTTATGAATTACTACTTATGCATTATCTACGGTAGTAACTTAAGTAGATTGGATGTTCGTGATTCATAGTTGCACTAGACATCGATCTTTGACATTTGGGGAGCATCTCTTTCTTTTTTTCTTTTTCGATAAATTGAAGACAATGTGAGAGGGGGGAATTGTTTTATATGTGGTTGTATATCTTTGAAAATGTGTGAATTCCTTGGACTTGAAGTTGAAATTATTATTTGTACATGTATTTGTTGAAATTTGGGTTTGTTAGTAGAGAGTTTTGCCCAGTAATAAGGGAAAACTTTATCAAAATTTTTTCAAAATTGTAAGATTACCCCAAAATTTTTGGAAAATTTTCACTTTGGTCCAGAAAAGCAAAAGTCCAACCATTAGTAATCAATTTCTCCTATATTTTTTAACTAAATTTATGTGACTTAAAAAGTTCAATTTCAGTTGACTTGCCAAAAGTTATTATGTGTTTAGAATTTTTGCATGTTTAGAAAGTATATGTCTTGTAAACTGGGGAGAATTATGCTTATATTTTACATGTTTAATGAGATTTCTCCTATTTACTTAATTTTATAATTAGTAATTGATATAGTCAATAAAAGCTATACTTTTTCTTTTATTATTCTTAAGTATTTGCTAAGAGGGAATATCTATTTGTTGTCTTCTTTACTTAAAAAAAAAGAGTTTTGTTCTACTCCAATGATTTAAATAATGAGTAACTAAGAGTTAGCATATACAAATACCAATTTTCACATACAAAAGTGCTTAAATTAAAAATATGCCAAGCAACTCAAATTAGTGAATTGTTGATTAATCGGGGATTTTCATCTAAAAATGTCGATCTTTATGTAAACGGGTAGTTTCACAATTTGAGGAACTTAGTGATAAAAAATTATATAAAATATAAAAGGAAGAAGGAGAATAAACCCTTTGTAAAGCTTGTATTTGAGCAAAAGATGATTGTGGAAGAGGAAAGTTTGAATTGATTATATGAATTGCTTGCTTGTGAAATTTAGTTGGGTTGAGAGATTAAGTTTAATTTGTTAAAATTAGGGCGTAAATGTCTCTCTATTATTTGATATTATGAGTATTTGAGGCAACCTGATTAATTACATAATGATAGTTTATCAAGTCATGAGAAATTGAATTTTAAAGTTTCACATGATTTATTTCAGCTTATAAATTATTGTTGGTTAGTTTTTCTATTGTTTGAAAACAAGTAATAATTTGAGTGTGGGGGAATTTAATAAGTGTTTATTGATAAGAGTATATTTTACGTGTAAGTGCCCGGTGCAACCCAATGAGTACAAACAAATTCACAATGATGCACAAAGATATATCAAATTTAAGCACAATAAAGAAAACTTAATTAAAGAGAAAGGATAAGAAATGCAAACCAAATATCAAACCAATAGCCTCTTCAATTGATGGCGATGCTAACCAAGATGTACAAGTGAAGGCTCACTCATTCCTCACCCCAAACACACTTTGGTTGAGCCAAGGAGTTTTACAACAATTCTAGTTAACCCTCAACAACCTACACTTGAAAGATCACTCACCCAATTAAGAACTATTTTATACAAATGAGGCAACCTTCACCAAGGTTTTACCACTTCAAGTGATAGGTTCACCTTCACCAAGGTTTTACTCCTCCTAGAGAGTAACCTTTGTCACGCCCCACTTTTTGAATGGTGTTGTGTGTGGTGTGAAGTATGAGTGTGTAGTGTGTGTGTGAACGTGTGCAAAATGAAAATAAAGGCCATGGGACTTGATAATGCGACGGTTTGGCCATATAAAGTTCAAAAAAGGGTTTTTTGTATCAAAAATGGAGTCGCCACTTGGTATAGAGTTAGGGTGTACCAAGTCACCCAAAAATAATTTTTTGTTTTTGAATGAAAAAGTAAATAAACCCTTTTAGAGAACTTTTGGGTCTACGTAACCAAAAGAGGGATCGGGGGTCACATTTGACGAAGGGGAAGGCAAGGATAAAAATCCAAGGCACCCCCTCGACCTAGCCAAGGCTAGTTGCGTGACTTAAACCAATTTTTCCTAATTTTCCTACCCAAGGTATGTATCGCATGTTGGATATGACTACGTGAATGCAAAAACCTAGACCTAGGGGGACATGGGGGAAATTTCTCTTCAAAGGGTGAGTGGTGCCAATCACATTAATTGTCAAGCCCAATAATGATCCTTTGGAGAGGTCACACCTAACC